TCGTACAACATCGTATATAGATCAATATTATAAGATAGTCATAATCGATGTTGTATGATTTATTATTATAAAAATCTGTTCAGTGGTTGCAGCGTGATTGACTGGCAAACATGAAATTGTTAATGAAAAAAAATAGAAGTTAGTTAGGTCAGATTTACTTTACTCTGGATATACCTACAGAATTATTTAAATTATTTTTTATCTCACTAAACATTTCCTTAGGAACCACGCGGGCGAAGCCGCTGGCGAAAGCTAGTTTATTTATATTTATATACTAGCTGTGCCCGCAACTTCGTCTGCGTGGGGAGTATTTTGGTAGAATTCTTTTATTCCTATGAATGGAGTCGAATCGAATAAGATCAATGGGCCATAACCCACTGTGCTTAATGTGGATCGGTGGGTGTTAACGTTGCTGATGCAGCCAGGACTAACGGCTTAACGCGCATTGTGCCAGTGCTGTGCACAGTGCTCAAGATAATAATGTTTTGGTCACCCATCCTGTCCTTACGAATGTAATTTTTCTATCTTTTTTCTCGTTTCTCGCGCTCTGGTTATCGCTTGTGTCTGAGAATTTTATTCGTACCTTGAAACTATCCTTCTTTTGTTTTTGATATTTTTAAATTATTATTATTTGTCTAGTTGTATGCACAATCGGCTATTTATTGTTCTATTTTCCATGTAATGCTAGGTTGCCTGGAAGAAATCGCTTGCTAGCAATGTGTTTGTCGTACAAACTAAGTACAAACTTAGTTATGTAAAATAAGTATTTAAGTATGTCCTTGTTTATTTCACTGCAATTTAAACCGAATGCGCTAACCCACTACGCCATCGGACCTCTTATACCTAAGATATACTTATATTATAAAGGGGAAAGATTTGGTTGTTTGTTTGTTTGCATCGAATTTGCCCCAAAACTACTGGACCGATAGTTTCAGGGAGATTCTACCTACGGGAAGCTACATCACGGATGTCATAGGCTATAATTTTGCGGCAAAGTTGCGGGAAAACAGCTAGTTCATTATATACCCTGTGAAAACTTATCTGCGGTACGCCTGTGGAGTATGAAGGCAACACGGGTTGGCGATAATTGAAACTACTTTCTCGATCTCTATTGCACAAACTGCGAGCTCTTTCAGAGACCAAGCGTATTTCTCTATCAAAGGAAGTTTCATACTCATACCATACTGCATGTATATTACGGTTAGCAGTTAGACGCGCTATGCGATCTTCAGAAGTTTCCTGAGATCATACGCTTGTTGTATGAGTTCTCCGGGAGCTCAAGAGAATTTCCCTGACGGTAAATGCTTCAGATTCAACTTTATAGTACATGAGCCTCGCGATGGGTAGTTAAATACGCCTCGCGTTATTCAGGTGTTTCTCTAGACCGAACGCATTCCGTCCAATCTCTTTCTTTGTCAATAAAAGTCGGTCGGTACATGTCTGACGGAAGATACGTGGAGTATTATTTATTAATGATATAAAAAAATATATACATATTTTAATTTCGACTTTCCTCACTCGAAGGAAATCGTCTACTAACACGTACTTCCGAGAGGTGCTTAACTAAGTTTCCGTCAGATTTGAACGGGAGGGCCGTTCATCATCATCAGCCCTTTTACGTCACTAACTGCAGGAGCCTTTTGGATTAAGGAGGATGGGCCACGACCTTCCATGATGGCCCAATGCGAATTGGAGGATATCAACGACTGCAAATACAACCAGGACCAATCGCTTTACGTGCCTTACAAAGCTTGGAGTTGCTTGAGATAATATTTTTTTGTCACCTTTCCTGTGACCGACCTTTGTGAAAGTTGCTTAACAACTACAATCACACCGTCTCATGGGAGATGAAACCCGGAAAGCTATGGCCGCATCACCAGAACACTCAAGTATTGGACATGACATTGGTCCCCTTGCAGATGGAATATTGGATAGGCTCCGGTAAATCGAATGCCTCTCTCAGACAGACGAAACCGTGCAATGCGAGGGCTGCCAACCACCTCCGCTAGCCCCGATGACGACGTGAACCTAATCTGATAAAAATATGCGTTCAATGTAAATTACTCGATGCTTAATTGCATCATCGGAAGGCTCTTTTCGCTTGTTCTCCTACTCGCGTGATTGTATACCACACGTCCATTATAACCTGAACCCTATTTAATATCATTGGCTATTTATAAATGAGGTCAACTTACTTTGGAGTTGTCAAAATTTTGGATTTTGGATTTTTTATTTTTATTTTTCATCATACAAATTATCATTTTATAGACAATATTAATTTGTAGCTGGGTGGCGCTACGGATAAGCGCCACTGCGCACGATCGATATTGCTAAGCAATTTTCGCAAGAGTTGTTCACGGGATGGGTGACCAAAAATTATTAAACAAAGGCCTGAGGCCCCGCACTTTGACTGTCAAAGAATTAATGATGATGATCAATATTCCAAAGACGAAAATTTAATAAAACCTTTAATATTTCATAGCAATTTTGGCGACCACGTCACTTCAAATTGACATAACTTTTTTATTTGTGAACCGATTGAAATAAATCTCACACTAAATGTTAACGGAAGAATACCGCAATATAATAGTGAAAACTGCATTTCGATCGGTTCAGCCGTTTCTGAGATTATCCTGCACAAACGCACAGACAAACAGACAAATCGACAAACAGACAAACAGTCAAAAAAAAATTAAATCATTGTTTTGTGTTCTATTACGCTTATAAATGTCCCTCATAACAGTTTTTTTCATATATCTTCAATGTACAGACATCGATCGGTTACGTTTTTATTATAGTATAGATGAGATGGGGTTACTCCGCGTCGGACTCCCGGGGAAGATATAATTTATATTCCACGTAAAAAAATAAATGACAACATTATTTCTAAAAAGAAATACAAAATCATACTGAGAATTAATTACTTTTAAATATTTTCGATTTCTTTTTAAATATATTATTATATCTCATTTGCTCTTCAATACTACGGTCACTCTTAAGTAGGTATATTTCTGACATAGACTAAAAATAAAATGTCCCCGAGATGAGACAACTAAGCATATTTCTGCCAATTTCATTTTTAGCAGTATCATTTCCTGATGAAGACGCCCATTAACTAAGAGATTTGATTATACACTTACATATGAGCTGTCTGACTTTTAACATTATAAAATTGCAGGCATCAGCTTTTAACCGGTAATTACGTTGTAGTTGACAGGAAAAAAAACTAAACTTGTTGTATTAAATTTGGTCTAAGAGACATTCCTCGTAAAGAGTTAAATAATATTAATAAATCCTCATTCGGAACAAAATCAAAATGCACGCTGATTATTGTTTTTTTTTTTTTAATCATCTGGAAAATTGAATATGTTCACGTACGCACGGCCACGAGTCACGCTACACACAACCCCCGTAATCAAACCTCTGTTAATATGGACAAGATCCCTACTAACGATCGGTACAAAGTCCACATAAGTATAGTCTGACGTGCAACCATATATAAATCGAGCTGATAATATCAAACCTACGCAAAAAACTCACATGACTAATGATTACATTATTAGAATTTTCATAAACATAATAATATGAAACGCCTTTAAAGTGAGCATTATTTTTCACGTTTTTGAAATCCGCTTTATTTCTTTATCAAACATTTTTGTGTTGTAAAATCACTCGTCTCGACTGGGCAGCGTCTTAACAATTTCATTATGCTTTTTCTAACTCTTTATTTTAAGTAAGTAAAAACGAATTTAAAAAAATAGATGTTTTTACGCAGTCTGGATTTTTGTTTTTCTTTAAATTATTTATTTTTATTTTATACTTTTTAGTTACGATTCGTTGACTTCGTTATAAGATGGTAAATTTCGCAATCAAGTTATTTCATTGAGGGAGTTAATATCGTTGGGATTATCAAGTAACTTGCGGTGGTCTAAACTACTGATGATTAGTCCCTCTAGAGACCTAACTCGGCTCAAAGCTACATATGCTTTATTTTTTTACCAAAAATATTTGTTCTCAATGCTTTTTCACTGTTTTTTTTTTGTTTATATATCGTTTATACTTTAAATAAAAACTTTAATCAATAAGTAAGAAAATTAGCGAGAATGTTTTGTTAAACAACTTTAAATCATTATATATCCTAAACTATTATTTAAAATGAAAAATGATAAAAGGAACCTAAAGATAATTTTAAAATACCCATTCAACGACACCCCACTTGACATAGTTCATCGATTTTTATTTTTTTCATTTAGACAATATGGCGTCTGGTTGTCAGTGTGGTGAATTTTAATTACTGTAATGTCTTTAGTGACACTCGCAAGGTTAAGACAAATCGATTGACCTAAGAATCATCAAAATCGGCCTACGCATTTGGTCTCTAGAACGCCGCATAGAAACAAACATACATACATACATAGACTGATAAACACATTACCCTCCTTTACATCACGCAGTCGGGTAAAAACATGCATGTGTGTAGAATAAAGTAATTATTCTATGGCTCATTAACTTTTGAGATAAAATTACTGCTGCTTTGATTCTTACAATAGGCATGATGACTGGGTAAAAAATCTATTTAGTCCTACAATCAGATAATAGGGCAATATTCGATGTGTATGTTTTTCAAGAAACAACTTAGATAACAGGCATTAAAGTTGAGGAGTGTTTTTTACATAACAAATAATTGAAAAGAAGAGAAAATATTTAGAAAAGCAGATGTACAAAACTGTTACGCCGCAGAGACAAAAATGGACGAAAAGTTAGTGAGTATTTCTTATACTCAAAGAGCAAAGCTTTATTTTTTGACGCAATACATTTATAAATTTCACGCTTGAGCTCTTAGAAAATATGAAGTAGGTTTCTTATTTTAGTTAAAGCTTATTTGGACGTTATTTCTATAACAAACCCAGTTTTGATTTTCGCCTCTTAAAACAACGTACAATCTCCGAACACTTTCTAGGCAAATAATAAATAATGAAAAAACTCATTTAAATTATGCAATATATTCTAATTATGGTGATGATTACAATGAATCACAGATCTGTTTGTTCTTTAATGAAGTTCCTAATAACAGGTGCTGCAATATCAGCGAACACACTTGGACTGAGAGGCTGTCCACATCCGCGACCATACGACACTATGCCCACAGCCATGCCTTCTTGTGTGGCAGCACCTCCAGAATCACCCTGAAAAACAAATGAAAATATCATCGTCGACCGAAATAATACAATCTTAAAACTCGATCTTCTCAGGTGACTAAGATAGAATAAGAATCCACCTTTCCTTATCGTGTAACCTCTTTCGCCTTCTGCAGTATTATACTTCGAACGCAGTGACGAACACAGCATCGATACAACATAAGAGCTTCAATCAAATAAAATGTACTTCAAATGTAATAACAGTTTAATTTTATTGGTTCTACTGAGCCCTCAGCTTAGCGAGTCTGATGAATATCAATTACTTCGAAGCTAATAAAAATATTTCCAACAATATTGCAATACCTGGGGGTCAATTCTACTAAATACAGCTAAAATAGAACTGGAATTGTATCGTATGTCACTTTGTAGAATAGGAAAACCATTAAAAACTGTAGTTTCGTTCGGTTTCGATCCGTTTTCGATTTGATTTAAACAAAATTTATTTAGTAGAATTGGCCCCCAGATCTACTTACACAGCCAAAAGATACATCTCTACTAATATATTAATTTTCTATGAATAATTAAATGTGTTCTAATTATGATATTTGATAAATTTTGCATTGACTTCAACAATTAAAAATATTCTTTCAGGATTTTTCCATAACTAAAAAAAGATGCAAAATATGAATTCATGAATCCAATAGCTTATTTAATGGAGATCCTTTGAACAAGTAGGTGAGATCTATCAAGAAACTTTGCCAATATCAACCAACTTCACGAATATGCTCTAGTTTAAACTGTTGATATAATTTCCCTCGAGAGCATCGGCCATCATATTCTTAGGCATAGAAATAGGTATAAATAAACTAAACTATCAAAGGATTCACCGATATTTCTGCAAATTGTAGACCAATTTTCAACATTCATCAAAATGAGCTGGGGTAGTCCCATTTAAATTTTATCGAAATCGAATTAGCAGTTTTCCCTTTATAACAAAACAAAATACGCTTTTCACCAGACATCACCTAAACATTTAGATAAAATGTTTATTTCAACTAAAAAACAAAAGATAAAGCGTAATTTGAATTCATTCAAAATCCGAAAGGAGGATTTTCTATGATCGAGGAGTATGTATATTTTTTGTGAAAGTAATTTATACTTGAATTATGAACCAATTTCTATCAAAATAGCTGTTTCTTTGCGAATTCGCCTGCATAAATTACAGTCTATGTCCCCGCGTATTGTCAAGCTTTCCATAGATGAAAGACTTTTCAACAGTTTCGGAGCCTATCCAAAGCAAACAAACAAGCAATCAAACCTTTTCTCTTTATAATATTAATGTATAATTATTGGATAAAATGATGTGCAAATAAACAAAATCTCTTTTTCTAAGACTTTCAATATGTTGAATATTTTTATATAAATATGTAGATATTTAATATTTTGAGTGTTACGTATTATATCAAATCAAATCAAAATTATTTATTCAGTTTAAGCTTTTACAGAGCACTTTTGAAAGTCGAAAACTACTCCATCGGTCCGCAAAACTACGGCAGTAGACCTTGTACTGAGAAGAACCGGCAAGAAACTCAGCAAGGGCTGCTTTTTTCTCTCTGTTTTATTTCACACAGATAAGTCTCATTGAAAAATGACTTCATTAGAATATGAAGTCACATTTCATTACAATATTAGAAATAAGAGAGATGTTTTCGATCAATTCGATATACAATTTTCATGGGCATAAAAACTTTTTTAGATAAATAGAACAGATTTCAAACTTTAAAACACGTGATAAATAATACCTACTTATCTCAAGAAAATGCTATTGAGGTCTATTAGGTTCTATTTTTTAAAATGTTTTTTATGACATTTTTTTAGTTCAGGATAATAACTGTTTATTAGGTTTAATTTTCAGCATATTCTATATTTATTTAAAGATAGGTACTTACCTGGCATGTGCCTTGGCCTCCGAGGAAATAATTACCAGCACAGAATTCATTTTCGGTCAATACATTATAATAAACCAGGCGACATTGCAAAAAGTTGACCACTGGAATCTGGACATCCATTAAACGCTCAGGAATTGAAGCGGCACCTTGCTGAATAGAGTACGTCAAATTAAACAAGATAAACATTATGCTCATCAAAGAAAAATAAAAATGTCTTTTATTAAAATTAGCTTATTGCAACACTTTTAAATTGTCGAAACTTCTCCTACCTCTCTTTCAGGACTTATTTGTATGAAAGTGATTAAACTGGCCAAACAAAAACCTACCTGCGTCCTACCCCATCCGCTGACCAAAATATCAGTTCCGCCCTTCATCTGTCTGTTCAGCGGTGGCAATGATATCGGTTGCATGGTTTCTCCAAACGTCATGGGTTCCACTGTTTTCATGACGGCAACATCTTTGTCAAATGCTGGATTGTTATATTCAGGATGTGGTATAACTTTTTCTATGGGAATAATGGTCCCGTTGCGACGCCATGAACTGCCCGCTCTGAGTACTACTGTGCTAGGGTCAACGCTATGATAAAATAAAATATAATGAGTCTGATTTGTTACACACCAAAGTTGTCAATCCATAAAATGGTATTTTAGCTATTAGCTAAGAGATGAAAGAAGAGGTCTTTTCTTTATTAAAACAGGAAATATTTACTTCGAAACTTTGATTTTATATACACCTATTATTACTTACTTCTGAGCACAGTGCGCTGCAGTTATTATATAGCGCTCACTAACAATAAATCCACCACAAAAGTAAGAATTGTTGACAATGAATGAGACTTGATGAGGATACTCTTCGATGGAAGCTTCCTGGCCACCCACGATTCTGTCCGAGCTATTGATTTGGGGTATGTCCATAAATACTGGATCGTCTTCTGGTATAGGAACTTTCTCCGACAATATAATGTCATCTAGGAAAGAATTTTGATCGAATATTGATTATTTTACTAAGCCCGATAAAAAGTATATATTTAAATTGAATGAACAAATGTTGTAGCAATAAAACCACTATTTATCTCTAGACCTCTATACTCCATAAATGAAGCTGTGATAATTTTTCTAGTAACAACATGTCCCCTTGTCATATAAATATACTCATTTAAATGCCATATAAAATAAAACTGAAATATAAAAGCTTTAAAATTTTATTCAAATGACGATTCAAAGTTCGAAACTTTTTAGATCCCATCTGTTATAAATTTTATCACTCCACGCCGAAGATTTCGAACTCATTATAAACACACTTAATCTTCTGTTCGCAACCTGTCCCCATCCCAAATGATGATAATCCTCCATTTATATAAATATTTTACGTAAGAAAAAGTTTAGAAAGCAATTTCTATACTTACTGGTAGAGAAACACGTTAGAGTTTTTATTGCAGTGAACCATAATAGGAACAGTAACATTTCGAACAGAAAATGCTCGTCAGATTCCAACTGGTGTATTACAAGTGAAGAGATACGTTAACTACCTCTATATATGATTAGTTTTCATTTGAATAGCGAATTACCCACATGATTCGTGGTGTTCAGTCATAAAAGTTAGGACGATATTACGATAAGAAATAGAAGAGACATAGGATTTTTATGTATTCCGTAGATATAAGAACACATCTTAAATTTATATAAAAAGTCTTTTTGGATGTTTTTTCTTACGATGATTATTAATGCTCCTGCTAGAACTTTTGACATACTTAAGCTACCCTGTAAAAGTATATGAAACACATGCTGCCAGAATATAAAACTTATGTGTTTCTGAAAGCAAATCAGAAGGGCCCACCTCTCTTTCAAATCAAAAACACTTTTAGTTTTCTATTTACACATAAAAGGTCACATTTCATTCGTAAGTATACATCTTTAATTGATTTGCGTTTTAATAACAAAAATAAATAATGTGTCATTAAAAGAAAGAGTAAATACTCCGGTTCTACTTCTTCTTTTATTAATGGCTTATCTGCGCATTTCGCACAATTTTGCCAATGAATAAATAAACTTCTACATGTAAAATGAAAATGAAATGAATGAAAGATGGCGATGATGTCCAATACTCCGGTTACAAACTGGTAAAAGATCTGTCAAAGATTATGTAAGTAACACAATGGACAATTCAATTTTAAAGCCTACGCTCTACCTTACATTTATTTGATATTCTATATAAAGATTGAAACTCCGGAACTCCAGGGTTAATATGCGGACCACCAAAACCTAAATCCGGAGCTATTAAAATACTCCGATTCCTATTTCGATCGTAGCCCTCATGTTGTTATGCATATTATATAACAGTGTCAGGTTTATTTTATCGCTTGAAATGCTTCATTATTTATACACGGGCAAAGACACTAACGACAAAGAGAAATAATAATGTTAGACATCAACATTTTTAAGTTGATCGAAGTCTTTAACTCGTTTTAGTAAAAATAGGCATTAAACAAGCATTAAATTATTATAAATCAGATCTGTGACATGTACAATTACAGTCTATGAATCGTTGGAGAGTATCGTACCATGTGCAATTTTTGACATCGTTTTAGTACTGACATGACCTATCTACCCTTTTTATTGTAATACCTTCGCACTTCACCATCACTCAAAATTTTTTCACACAAAATCTTGATCGAATAACAAAAAGTCGAAAGCCATCTTTCATTCACTTAATTTTCATTTCACATGTAAAAATTTATTTATTTACTTGACATTAGCAGAATTGTGCGAAACACGCAGATAAGCTATTGATTAAAAAAGAAGAAATCTTGATCGAAACTCAAAATTTTATATCAATTGCTGAATCAGGATTTTTTAAAAGTTAATTTTTCAAAGTAACTTTACAATTGGCTTAAACAAAAAAAAGCTCTTTTTTTTAATTTTCTAGACACTTATTGAAAAATACTAACTTACTATTTCTTAATGAAAAATGCTTTAAAATGTACTTGGTTCCTGGAAAGCAGTCGCTCGGATTGCGAAAGGTTCGAATCCCATCTCAGAGTGTCAGGGACCAAGTTTTAATTAAGAATATTTTTCAGTATAGTATTGGGATTGCGAAATTTATAAAATATAATAACATTAAAGCTTTTGATGAAAATTTTAGGAACTTATCAGTTGTATGTAAACTCATAGCAAAATTGCTTTGAAAAACGTGCTGCTTAGCGGACGTACTACTATTTAAATAAATGTTCGATATATTAATTTATTTATAGAAATTTATTGACCAATATAAACATGGAACAAAAAGAGGACTTAATGCTAATAGCAATAGATATATCGTGCATTTCATAATGCTCTATCTAAAGATATGTAAGTTAAAGTAAAATAGACACTGAAACATCTATCTCGAGTAAAAAACTCGAAAGTAAAACCTTTAGTAATAACAATAGGTGATTTAAATAAAAACTGTAATGACTGTATTATCAATTAGCGTTGTTGTGACATCCTGTCTTTTCCTCAAAAAAAATAGTTTAAGATAGCTTATGTAAATCGTTTTGGCTTTCTACGTTTGATGTATCTTTCAAAATTCTAACTTTTATGGTACGTTCTTGGTATATTCTTACGATTCTATTCATTCATTAGATTATCTTTGGCATACTTATACAATGACATCTTTTCTCTACGACGATATATGAAATGACTGCATCTCGTTATTTCCTCTTTAAGTTTTTGTATTGACTTTCTCCTTTGTAATTTATACCCTTATCTTTTCTATGACTTAGTATCACATAAACTATTAAGTCTTACTTTTGCCAATGACTTACTCCTCTGTTATTTATACCCATTATCTGTTTACTCTTTTACTATTACCAATAACTTCCTTCTCTGCAGTTTGTACCCATCATCTGTTTATTCTTTTCGACCTATACGGTCAGTTGCACAAACGGTCATTATATGGTTTAATGACGCCTTTAAGCTCTAATAAATGTCAGAATTGTATGGGTAATGTCACTTTCAACTAATGAAAATTTGAATGAACGTTGGTGCAACTGGCTGTTAGTCAACTATATTTTTTTCCTACCGAGAAAGTCCTTCTGTTTTCAAAACTTCAAAATTATTGTTTTTATCTGAAATTTTCGGTTTATACCGGCTATAAAAGCTGTGTCAACCGGACATTCGTGGTATGTGATCAAGATATACTTCTAGAAGAAACTCTAAAGAAACTCTTAGTAATAAAAGTCAGTAATAAGGGTGGAGAAATGCTGTTCGTCACGTATCGTACTGTCTCCGAAACGTATTGTACTGTCTCCCTCACGTCTCCTAGGCCGACAGTAACATTAACGTCAAGAAGCGTCGAGACCTACCAGCTTCTTCCTACGCCATCTGGACTGCCTCTGCACGCTAGTGACCTGCTTTTTACTGGTCTGCTATTCCTCCGTATACAAGTGGCCTGCTTTGACTCGAAAATATTGTGGTTTGCACATATAGTGGCCTGCTCTGCTTCTAATTGGCCTGCCCTGCGACCGTATATCCGTGACCTGCTAAAACTTCACACGGCGTGATCTTCCCTGCCTCCGGACATCAGTGTCCTGCCCTGCCTCCGCACGCCTGAGACCTGCCGTAATCTACACTGCCGTCGTGTGCTCTAGGACGACTCTGCTTCTTTTGGCGGACTCCGTGATATCTTGACCTCAGCAAGCTTCATCGTGTCTCCGACTGCGTGTTGACTTCACGAACATTGTACGGCATTAATGTTCCGGTAATTTCTTCGCGAAGCCCATCACAGAATCACTATTAATTTAAGTTGCATATATATTTGTTGTATTTAATATGTTTTTCTGTGATAAATTTCCTTATTTACTTCCAAGTTTTGCATTTTTCTTATTGACTAAAAGCGTGTATGTAACATTGTACATTCAGTAACTGCAAAATTTCAAGTAACTCATTCCGTATTAAATTACTACAAACTCCGCTGTTTATAATAGGAGTTAGCAGCCATGCGCTCACTCGATGCTAATTGGATTTAGTTCACGAGTTTTTCAATTTTGTAGGTGTTTGCGTAAACGAGAATTTACGCAGCGTTATAAATACCTATAGAATTATAACGTTAAGGTTTACGTCAGCTCTTATCAACTCCGTTGAAATCATGGTTTTGCACATAAAACACCATGCTCGAGAAGTAATCCCATTTCATGCATATATGTAAATTAGAACAGTGTTTAAATGGCATTATATGGACCTCTCACTTGCTACATTACTGTGAAGTAATTATGTAGACAACTACTTCGTGTTTCAGAAGCATTAAAACGTCTGATGTCATCACATCCCCCACTCACACTAGGTCACGTGAGGAATTTTTGCCAGTTCTTTCCGTGTTGGCCAGCAAGTCTGCACGCACTGCATAAAAAAAAAGGGTCAAGAGTGAGATATGACCAAACACTATCTCACTATCGGCTCTTCTACAAATTCGTCATGCTACGCGGCCTGATCATTATTGATCTAGCAATCATGATGATGAATTTACAAACATCTAAAGCTCTGCTGTTGTATAAAAGCAAAAGAATAGTAATAATAATAAATATTAGACAACTCATATACATTGCTCAGTTCCCATATTAAGTAGCTAAAGCATTTATTTCATGGAAGTCTGCAACAATTAAGGTACCGCAATTAAAAATAAATAATTTTCTTAATTCTCAAAAATCAATTGATATATATTGATTAAGATTATAGGTATTTATTTACACTGACGGTAGCTGTTACATAAAAAAATTGACACTTTCGGTATCAAGTATCGACTCACTGAACTCCTACTTACTTCACTGAACTGAAAATATATACATTTACAATTTCAATCCGTTCAGCTCACCACATCTCGTCAATTGTTAATCAAATTCTATTGTTATTCTCTCGTCCATTAAGACAATAATATAATTACTAAAAAAAATTTTAGCAAGAAATGGGCGCATATATATAATAAATATAAAACATTTATCCCATAAATAACTATTACTCTAATGGAATATATTATTTTGAATCCACAAATGACTTGTTAATATTTGACTTTTAATTTAAAAAAGGCCTCACAGGCTTTCATTACCGATCCCCATATTTATGGCATTAGGCATATGTACACTTGACCGACTTAGGTATGTACTGATAAAAAAGTTTATCGAGGCATTGAGGAAGTGCATTTGATGAGTAAACCAACATGTTGGCATAAAATATAAAAATAAATTTATTTTTATTAGTTTTATTTATGGCGAGTTACAAAGAATGATAAGCATTAGAAATAATATCAAATTTTAAAATAGCAATTGAAATATTGTTATCTTCGTGAAATTTCTTTTAAAAGTTCACACAGATTTTATTCAAAGCGGTGATTTCAAATTAGAAATAGGTGAAGTAAATTCATATTTTACGAATCAACAACAATTTAAAAAGTGTCATGGATTTTCATGCGTCGTAATGGATTTGACTAGAGA